AGTTTTATGGTAGTCAGGTGCATAGTTAGTAAGTGTATGTGGCTTCATTCTACTATTGCTTTCATGCATATAATAATAATTCTTACATTTGGTATAGCACTTTTCACATCAGGAAGACAGTGCAAAGCACATCACAGGATATATTATAAAATGCAGTGACTGTATTTTGTAGGCAAATGTGGCAGCTGAATTCCATAAATAACCATGAAGTGAATCACCAATTTTATTTGGAGGATTGTTGGCCAGGACTCCATTCTTTTTTGAATAGTGGCATGGGATCCATAGTGTCCTCCTGAACTGTAGACAGGCCCTTGTTCAATGTCTCATCTGAAGGACAGATATGCCTCTTACCTGCGCAACATAATTTCTCTGTTATTATAACTACGTGTCAGCAAATGTGGTTCATTTATGATCAAGTGGAATTTCACTCCTAGTGTCTAGATCTTCTTATTGCATCTCTGTGCACAAAACTCTAGGAGAGTTTTTTGTGTGGTGTGTAGAAGGAGCCATCATGAAAAACAGATATTTTCTCATCTCAAACTGTTTGTTTCTATCTTCTTATGGTGACATACGCTTAGCAGCTATGTCATTATATGAGTAATAAAACCCACAGATTCCACAATTTCAACAAATGTTTCAAATCGCGTGGAAATATCTTCACGAGTAGTCACTCTATTTAAAATGTATTTTAGACATATTTTATATACCTTCCACTTGAATAAATTGGCATTTAATTCCCTAAAGTATTATCAGTCTTAGTTATAGGCAGTGATACACACATAGTGACATTTTCTCAGTGAGTCATTTCAGCCTACACTAAAAGTTCATTACTGACAATAATTAACGCTCAGATTAATTATTTTATATGACTATTTTTCTGCTATGGCAATTATGAAATACATGAAAGAAATAAGGTGAAATTCTCTCAGAGGCGGAGATTTAATATACCTTAGCAGAAGGCAGAAAGTGGCTGTGAGAATTCCATGAAAGGCATTTGTATACGAACTCTCAATAGTGGCACATTAATGATTCTCTTCATAATAATAATAATCCTTACATTTGATATAGCACTTATCACGTCTTCTAGACATCTCAAAGTACTTCACAGAATATACTGTAAAGTGAATCGTCTGTGGGCGAAACGTAGCAGCCAATTGTGCACAGCAATGTCCCACAAACAGTTGTGGATTGACCAATTTATTATTGTTTTTTCTTGAAGCATTATTATCCCCGGAAAAGCAATCTGTCAATCAACTAATAACCAGGTTTCTAGTTAATACTAGGTAAACAGAGGCGTGTGGAGTAAGGAAATTTGCTCTAGCGCCTCATCACCTCTTCAAGATGTCTCAAAGCGTTTCACAGAATATACAGTAAAGTGAATTGACTGTATATTTTGTGGGTGAAACCCGACATTGCTATAGAGTGGTGGTCCTTGTTGTTCTGCCTTATTTGTTGAAACATTTTTTTTGCTATGCAAGATCATTGTTCGATGTAGCCCTCAAGGATGCTCTATCGACCTTGTTCAAGTTCATATTTTCAGAATAAGTGTAATAAGAGAATAAATTCTCTCTATTAGATGAGAAAGAGAGAGAAAGTGAGAATTAAAATATGACAACAGGAACAAATAAGGTAAGACTACACTACCTGGGCATGTAACAGGACCAGTACATCAGTTGGCTGTGGCTAACGTGTGAAGAAGTCACAATGATTTGCCATTTCATTGGTGGACACCTACGCATAGAAGTTAATACAAGGACAGTACTGACATTTGCTATGCAATTTTTTTTTTAAAATTCTTATTTGCCATTGTCTTTACAAAGAGAAACCAAGATTCGCCCAGGAATATACAGTCAATTTACTTTACAGTATATTCTGCGAAGCGCTTTGAGACATCTAGAAGACATGAAAAGCGCTATATCAAATGCAAAGATTATTATTATTATTATTATTAAGGGACTTACACAAAGTTGGCTCTAAATTACCTCATTGTCTGGGGTTACTATTGGAACTTCATTCTTGGGAAAGTATGAATGAGATTAGTTTTATTTACAGTATTTTGCTATAATCACAACAATATTAAGGGACAAATGCTGAGGTCCACATCATAAATTGAATGCCCAATAAACTGTATAAGTCCTATGTTCAAAAAAAGTGAATAAATTAGTCTAAAGCTTCAAAGAACAAATATCTATTGAGATCTGTGAAACCTGACTCAGATAAGTACTTAATTATATGGGCAGGAGGAACGAAACAGCAACTGCAATGATAGAAGTCTGTAGGGAGAAAGTATAACCTTTGAGGAAGCCTATGTTTTATGTATTTCATAGATATCTTGTCTATAACGTTCTGAAACTTTTTTTCAACATCCTAGTGATGTTTCTGTTTAGTTACTTTAATTTTCTATCTTTTATTTAATTCCTCACATAGGAACATAGGAAGATTGGCCATTCAGCCCTTGAGTCTATTAAATCATGGCTGATCTGAACATCCAATCCAATTACCCACCTTTGCCCCATATCTCTTGATACCCTTACCTAACAAAGATCTATCTACTTCAGTCTTGAAAATTTTAATGGATCCAACATCCACAGCCTTTTGGGGAGAGATTCCAGATTTCCACTTCCCTTTGTGTGAAAACTCACATCCCGTGTGGTTTCTGCAGTGTTTTATCTTAATAATTTATTGATTAAACAATTATACTTGGAAAATCCTCAACTTGTGAGAGATAATTTTACCACATGAGGTCGATACTGTGAAACGAACCCGAGTTTGCCACTATTCGTTCCAGTCATCAGGGTTCAGTGTTTGCATCAGTGGTTTGTGAGAACATGCCATACAAATCTACAGAATCATGACACGTGTATAAATGTACAATTCAATTTTTTTTAACTATGCTGATTATTTAATATAGATATCTCAAACACAATTTGGACTTTAAAATATTTGTGTTCACAGATGATACAAAACTTGGAAATGTAGTAAACAGTTTAGTAGCAGAATGCAGGAGGCTGATGAAATGGGCAGGCACATGGCAGATGGAATTTAATGCAGAGAAGTGTGAAGTGATGGATTTGGGAGGAGGAATGAGGAGAGGCAATATAATATAATTGATTCAGAGAGATCTTGGGGGTTCACATACACAAATCTTTGAAGCTGGCAGGACAAGTTGACAATGCGGTTAAAAAAACATTTATATAATAATAATAATCCTTGCATTTGATATAGCGCTTTTCACGTCTTCTAGACGTCCCAAAGCGCTTCACAGAATAGACTGTAAAGTGAATTGACTGTATATTTGTGGGCGAACCCAGCAGCCAATTGTACACAGCAGTGTCCCACAAACAGTCGTAGATTGAAAATGACCAATTTATTATTGTTTTGGTTTTGGAGGGATTATTATTAGGCGTGTGGAGTAAGGAAACTTGCCCAAGGTTTCGCCCTGCCTGGAATTTAATTCAGGTCTCTCGCTTGCAAAGCGAGTATTCTAACCACTGAGCTACAGGATACTCTTTACTCTTTGTAGGCACAGAGCATAAAAGGAAGGAAGTTATGTTGAACCTTTATAAATTGCTGATTAGGCCTTAGCTGGTTTACGGTGTCCAATTCTGGGCATCACACTTTAGGAAGGATATCAGGGCCTTGGAGAAGGAGAAGCTGGGATTCTTTTCTTCAGAACAGAGATGGTTGAGGCGAAATTTAATAGAGGTGTTCAAAATTATGAGGGGTTTTGATAGAGTAGATAGGGAGAAACTGTTTCCTCTGGTGGGTGGGTAGGTAATCAGAGGACATAGATTTAAGCTAATTGGAAAAAAAAACAGGGGGCAGACGAGGGGAAATTATTTTACTCAGAGAGATGTTATGGTCTGGAATGGACTACCTGAAAGTGTGGGGAAGCAGATTCGATAGTAGTTTTGAAAACGGAATTGGATAGGTCTTAAAAGGGTCTGGATCTTAAAATAGGTCTGGTTCCTCCAAAGCACATTGGCCTAGCTTTGTCTAGTATTAACTTAAGCTCTGGCACTTTCAACTGGTGGCACCACTGCTCAATGGTTAGGGGTGTATGTTTGGGCAGTGGGCAGGAAGATGGGAACAAATTAATAATGTTGAGTTGGGCTGCTCACTATATTTCTCCGTGAGAGTTCTTAGTACTACTATCCACCTAGCGAGAACTCAAATCTGCGCTTGACAGAAGTATAATGACCAATTAATGACTATTCTCCTTGTGAGGAGCAAAACAGGGTCTATTTGGAATTGAGTTGGGCTGGAAGCTTGCTGGTGCTCTGCAATGTTATGCTTCACAGATTTAGCTAGTTGCATTCTAGTAGATTCCCAATGGCTGCTGGAGTCATGGCTGTTTGTCAAACATTACTGTGCACAAAATTGGTGCTATGTTCACCCACAAAATACGGTCACTATACTTTACAGTATATCCTGTGAAGCGCTTTTGGATGTCTTGCTGTTGTGAAAGGTGCTATACCAAATGAAAGGATTATTATTATTAAATGACATACTCTGATGTATCTGAGCCTTACTCTTGCGAACCTGCACCTAAATTCTCAGGAATTAGGTAAACAGAATGAATCCCTTTGGAGAGAGGGTGACTGCTCTTTATCACACAAGTAGAAAAATCTGGAACCCTTCGTAATTTGATTGGAAACTCTTAAACATGGTGATGGGTTTCTATGTCAGATGCCAGTTGCTCTAAAATAGATATACAACTTCAATGAGTTTTCTAGATGATCCTTGAAAATTATTATCTCCAGGCAACTTCAATTTCACATCTGTTTGCTGGGACAAAATACCCTTATTACTTTCAACAACAGAGGATCTTCATTTTCAGCAAAAACTAAACTAGTTCTTGTTTATTGTCTGCCACAAAGAAATGTTTTGATACTATTGTCTAAAGGTTAACATTGCTATGCATGTCAGTTACATTAGTTTGTACTCACATTGACTGCTATTATGACAAATGCATGATGATGTACATTTTTCTTTGGCAGGGTATGGCCATGCTGCTCCCAGCACCGATGAAGGAAAGGTTTTCTGTATGTTTTATGCCCTGCTTGGGATTCCCCTCACTCTGGTCATGTTTCAGAGCATGGGAGAGAGAATCAACACATTTGTCAAGTATCTCCTGCACAGATTCAAGAAGTGCCTTAAAATGAAGCGAACAGAGGTCTCCATGGCAAACATGGTCACCATTGGCTTTTTCTCCTGCATTAGCACTCTCTGCATTGGAGCTGGTGCATTCTCATATTATGAGGACTGGAGCTTTTTCCATGCGTATTACTATTGCTTCATCACACTCACTACCATTGGGTTTGGGGACTATGTGGCACTACAGAAGCACGATGCTCTTCAGAACAACCCTCATTATGTGGCATTTAGTTTTGTCTACATTTTGACAGGTCTGACAGTGATTGGAGCATTCCTCAACCTGGTAGTTCTGAGGTTCATGACAATGAACGCAGAGGATGAAAAGCGTGATGCAGAACAGAGGGCCTTGCTTTTGAGAAACGGGGGGCAACCTACCATCCGCACCACAGAAACATCTGGAAGCTTCCGGAACATGTATGCAGAAGTTCTCCACTTTCACTCCATGTGCTCGTGCCTGTGGTACAAGAGTCGTGAGAAGTTGCATTATTCAATTCCTATGATCATCCCCAGGGACATGTCTACGTCTGACACATGCATCGAGCAGAGTGATGCATCTCCTAACAGGCTTCCTGAGACTGTCTCAAATGGGTGTGTGTGTAATCTGCACAGATCTGCTATTAGTTCTGTGTCGACAGGACTCCACAGCTTATCTGCCCTCAGAGGACTCATGAAAAGGCGAAGTTCTGTGTAATTAGATACATTCAAAGATGCTTAAGGTTGTGATGTACATAATAATTAACGTTCCATAGGAATTAGAAAATCAAACAGACCATATCATTTTTATTTAATGGATTATCAACCACATATTTAGAATAGTTCAAAATCCTACAGTGGGGAGGAAACTGCAGTGTATCACTACTAATTTGATGTGATGCTCATATTGAATCTGTTAGGAAACATTAAGTTCCACCCCCACAATGTTTTTCAGATAACAAAGCATGAAAACACATTCTTCAAATATGAGCCCTCAGCTCACAAATTTGAGAAATAATGAAACATATAGTCTAACACTTGCAAATGCAGGGATGGAAACAATTTGGGGAAGATATATCACATCTTTCCATGGAAACGTTATGAGAAAACCACAACTTGTCTCATTTAAATACCATCTGGGGTGAACATCAGCAGATGCATAAGTAACTTCACAAAAGGATGACTAATTTCTAGCTAGTTGATTAGCCAGCTCATTTCAGTTACAACAGGGAATCCGCAATTCCCAAGACACATATCTTTCCCCCATTCGTCAAAGCAGCAGAATAAGAGGGCACAAGTTCAGAGTTGAGAGTGCAATTTTAGAATTGATACCAGGAAATATTTCTTTATACAGAAGCTATTTCACTCTATATAACAGCTCAACCTGTTACAAGTCAGGCTGATCATTCTTAATGTGAGCTGCAGAAATAATCTTTCTGAGCTGAGCTAGTATTGGATCCACTGCTGTATTTTTAAGGAAATATTCTGCCTCATTTCCTGGTTCCTATTACACAGAGGAAAGCCCTCCATCCATCTTAGTTGTCTAATACTTGAATGCCCACCTCTAGCTATATGCTACTGGACAAGACAAATTATGGAGTGCAATGATAATGAGTGGTGGGTGCAATGTCAGTTGCCACCTCCCATTTATGTCATGCCCTGAAGTCCCTACCCCAGCCATATCCCACCCTATCCTATGGGCTTGACTCCAAGTTTGGTACCATTCCCATCCACATAAATCATCACTCTGCTGCACCCAAGCATCCCTCCATCTACTAGTGAAAGGTGAGGATTTCCACTTCAGTTTGATAAGGGGCTGCCTAAAGCTGCAAGCTCTACACCTATCATAGGTCATAAAGAGGTGCAAAAGAACAACATTTTGAATCATAACAGTCTTAATGATGTTCATGGTTATTCTTTCAAGTCAAATAATCTGAGCATGACATATATGACTTGTCCTCAAGCCTGGTTAACAGTAAATCTCTGCATGTCTTCTCATATTCACTTGATCCTGACAAGAAGACAACTAGTTATTTCAATTCCTGCAGTAAGTGACAATCTCCTCATTTCTCAGGTGAGTTGCTATGTAGCATATTCCATTTCAGGGATAAATAACTTTCTTCACTTCAACCAATGGGTGTTTACTTGCTTCAGTTTACTGTTGCATTTGTAATGTATGCCTGGACCTTTCAGTAACAGGCTAAATCCAACACAAAAAGGCACATGGAGACAATTTATTTTCCGACATTGTTCACTGTCAAAATACTTCTGTAGCTTCTAACATGGAAAAACAACACTTGCGGTCGCTCCACTCACCTGGCTACGATTAAGTCTCCTCTTATACACATCCAGGCAGAATTCCTCACACTGCTTATTTTACTTAACTCCATGTCCTCAACATAAATTAAAACATAGTAAAAATCAGGATAGGATCCCTTGGGATTAGAAAATGTTTTCAATTGAAGTATATCTATATTTTTTTTCCTTTAGCACAAAATTGAATGAGAAAAAGATAGGAATGCAAAATAAGTGATGTAAAAATATCTATGATGTTAAACAATGTGTCTCATCAGGGTTTCACTGGATTATAATGTTCAGTATAGACTGAAAAAATGTTGGGAGAAAAGGAAAGTGCATCTGTGTTCTTGTCAAGTCACTTTTGCTTAATTGATATTGCTGACTGCACATTTTGTTTAAACATGTCCACTTTTAACATAAGCAAAATCACAACTAAAATACACATTCTAAGTTGGCACAATTGGTGTAAATAATAAGGTGTACATTGAGCTGTAAATTGAAATAATGAATTAATAGTTACAAAATGCCAGAGTGGTATTGTTGAAATATTTGGGTGTTTATTTCCCCATTTCTACTTTTTCACAGTGACACAATTTATTTTATTGGGTCTCCTCATATGTATTGTATATTACCTGCAGGGTTGTAGAAAAGGAAAACAGTGTCAAGAAATGACAATATCCATAGATTGATTTTAAATACACCAGTTTAATGAATACAAAATTCTCTGTTATGTTTACTTGTCTTTCTTTAAAGTTCAATATATGGTAAATAAAGTAGATCATGATGACAGAATCAAAATCTCCCGGAATGTGCAAAAGACTCCTTGTTCTCAACCTCCTTCTGATACCAAAGTAAAATTTATTTAATTTTATTTTGAATCCTGACAAGGCTGGACATCTTTAGATGGGTTGTTGTACAGTTTTCCTGTTACCTGTAACTGATAATTTAAAAAACAACAAATTATGTGTGTACAGTGCCTTTCACGTCAGGAGGATGACCTCAGGCGCTGTACAACTGCTACAATGCTCAATAACTGAATCATTTTGCACAAAGCAAGGCCCTACAAACAATCTTCCAATGGATCTGTAATTCATTACTTTGCAGTCTTCAAATCATCTTTTCAACTAACCTAGTACATTATAAATATGAGTACAGGAAATATAAACATACTATACACTTAGTTGGTACTTATGTGGATTGCATTTTAGGATTTCCCCCCAGACACACTTTGGATTACTCACATCTCTTTAAAGTGTACATTTATGCAGCGAAAGATTATTTTAATCTACTTTTACATCAATGGTGCCTGACATCAATTGTTCTCTTGCACCTGTTGCTTTGCACAGCCATTGTTCTACATTTCCATTGCCTTCTCAGAATAGGTTACCTCACAGCGACAGAGCTACTAACATTATTCATGAATGGAAACAAAAAAGACAGTACCTTTGACATATTATATGCGGCACAATTAGTTAGAAGATACATTTTAGATTTGTTCACTGTCCCTTGGGATAGTATTACCATTATTTTATAACACCCATTATATTCACTGATGCTTAGATGTATACAATCCCTTGTAAGTGAATGAATAGTGACTGCCTCCAACCAACTCAGGATTACATACATATACTGTAGGTAATTGATCTATGTGATCATTTGATTCTATACATACGATATATTACATTCTAGTATTTTTGTTCCCAATTGCAGTTATTGTTGAATAGCTAATCTGTTCAATGTAGAATGCACATAGCAAACACTGCAAAGAATAAAGTCCAGACCTTTCAAATATTCTTGTCAACACTTTCAACTTTTAAGCTTTTAAAATTGCCAGTATTCCTCAAAGTGTGCTAATTAAGACAATTTCTCCTTTATATTTTTTATTGCCCCATAAATGAAGATAACTGGAGGTTTCTGCACTAAATTTTCTGGCTGTTATATTTATATTACAATCTCCTTTATTTGCTGAGACACTTAAAAAGTGGGAGTCCTCAAATAACATTAAAGCCATTGATTGAATAGACAGTACAATATCTTTTGCACATCCCAGAGGATATAAGAGACAATTTACCATTTTGATGAATTGAGCTGTTAATACAGTGGTCAAGCAAGGAGGATAACAATTGAGCAGACACCCTATAGTTTTCCTTTGCTGAATTATTGCAGTGCAAACCCATAATCTCGGGTGCACTGTTTTCCTTTAATCTGAAATGTTTGTAAATAGTTATATTTTATTAATCATAAAGAGATAGAACATTCTATCACTTTATAAGGCAACTGGACCGTGGTGTTTGCCTGCTTTGTGACATTTTAATATAGAGCCCCTCAATATTTTATTCAATATTCTGTGACTTTCACTATAGAATGCACCTCATTATAATGCACAAAGTGTTTGGCTTCCAAGGATTGTGTTATAATCAGATGGAGTGTAACAGACCACAGAGGAAACTGAAGCTGGTGAGAAACAAAGCACTTCACAAGCACACAATCACAAGTAGCTCAGTCAGTGTTAGAAAACAATTTAAGTATCATACCTGCCCAAGAAGGAGCACTTTCAGATGGAGACAGCTGTAGTGATAAATTTTCCGTAAAAAGGGATATTTGCAGGGAAAACAAAGTGTAATTGTTTTTAAAATTTTACCCATAAATTATTGTACCATACAAGATATACAGGTCTTTACAATTGAAAATTAAATTTAAACTTAATGTAATATTGAACCTAACTGTATTTCAAATACTAACTGGTGTGTTTTAATATTGGTGTTCTAAAAAACAGGTTTACCTGGAGCCTATTTTCTGATCTTTTTGAGGGAGGCGGTGTCACTCTCGGCCACTGAAGATCTCAATATATTTAAATACACATTATATATATTTAAAATAAACTGGAAACGCACATGTTATACATTTCAGATGATGTATCTAATAAGAAAGTAATTAAAATATACTTAAATAAGTTTATATTTTAATAGCCCATACTACAATTATATTAATTTCTAACATCCATGTGTCTGTCAGCTCTGTGATCTTCTATGCATACATGCATCTATCTTTTGTGGCTGCCTTTTTTCAGGTGTATCTTACTGGATACATGTATTTATTTATTATTTGCTTACATTAAAACATAACTCCAAAACTATTTTGGATATTTTATCTTGCAGTAAAAGTTTCAGGTATATTGCAGTGAAGAGATTTATAATATATAGCTCTTAAAAACTCAAAACAAATGGGCAATAGAATTTAAAAAGAGAGCTAAGCATGATTTCTGTTTCAAATATATACAGGTCAAAATTGTGCCATAAGGTGAGATACTCGGGCTAGTTGGGCCTGAGGTTGACCAGAGGTTGCTACTGGCAGCAAATGGAATTGCTGGCTGCTGAGTGAGGCATTCCTGTTCTATTTGTGGGAAAAGGTTCTGCAATCTAAGTATAGTCAGATATTTCACAGGCTGCGGTTGGCAACTAGAATGGCAGCCACCTGCGGCTTTGGGTCCAAAA